AGAGTAGAGTGGGACATTTTAATCCATGCATATATACCTTGTGTAATGATCAAAGGAAGGCATTGACTGTCTCTGTTACCTTGTGTAGTTATTCTTTATTAGTTCTCTGTGGTTGCAATATTCAGAGTCCTTCTTTTCAGCCTTTTTTGGAAAATGTGGTGGGATACTGTTAAGTCTAGACACCCTGCTGTGAAGTAGAACAGCTGAATTTATTCCTGTCATCTGAGTGTAACATTGTATCCATTTCCCAGTTCCTGCCCCTGCTCCCCAAACATCAGCCTCTCTTCACCGCTGTGGAACTTTCTATGTCTAGGAGATAAAGTCATTTAGAGAGAAAGTTGATGTCATTCTCACATGCATGAAATCATGCCGTGTTTGCGTTTCTCTTCCTGGCTCATTTCGTTGAAGGTCATGTCCTCCAATTTCTGCACGTTGCTGCAGATGCCATGGTTTCATGAATTTCTGTGGCCGAAGAGGATTCCTTTGTGTACTGTAGTTTCTTTTTCCCTTTGTGCATGAACAGGTACGTTGATTGGATACCTTCCCTATTGTGAATAGTGCTTCTGTCGCCACAGGAAGGCCGATACCTGTTCAACATAACAGATTCCATGTGTTTTCTGTGTATAACCGGCGGTGGGATTGCCAGGTGAACGGGTAGTTGTAATGTAAAATGTTTAAGGCACCTTCAACTGCTTTGCTTCATGTGTATAATAATGTACATTCCCACCAGAAGTGTATAAAAGTGTCTTTTTCTGCATTTCTACGTTGCCACTGCCTGTGAACGTATGGGTTGTTTGTTTGTTTGTTTGTTTGTTTTTGGTAAGTTTCATTCTAATTAAAGTGATAAGTATCTGCGTGTGATTTGTACTTAGACATTTGTGTGAGGATTAGTGAAGTTGAGCAACTTCTGTTTGACCTGTCAGTCAAATTTCGTGTTTTCTTTTCAAATGTGCCTGTTCAGGTTCCTTTCCCAGTTTCAGCTTGGGTATTAGGTTTTGTTCATTTTCCCAGTTAGAGTAGTGTTAGTTTCTCGTACATGTTAGATAACAACCCCATTCACAGATATGATTCTGCTGAACTAACTTTCAGTCTGTAGGATGCTTTCTTTAATAGTTCATTGTTTCTCTTCCCCATGCGGAAGCTCTAAAATGATGTATAGTCCCATGTGTTTGTATTCACATTTGTTAGCAGTGATTTTAGTGTCCCATCCAAAAAGAACAATAAGTAAGAAAAAGTATTGCCAAATCAGTTGCACGGTCTAAGGGTTTCTTGCCATGGATAATTTTTGCTCTTGTTTTCTTTCTTTTTTGCAAACTGCGTGCAGCGATACAAGTTTTGCTGAGATACAGACTCCCACTTTTCTTATAGGAGCTTTGCGGCTCCAGGATTGGGTTTAGGTGTTTATTTGGTGTTGATTTAGGGTTATGATATTGCAGACCCTGAAATGTTGACTTCTTTGTCTTGTTTTTGTCTGATACAGCACAAAGGCAGTTGTGTTCAAATTAAGCTGTGGGAAATCCTTTAGATACTGGGTTCAAACGATTCTCTCCTTCCTTGATGTTCACTTACGTGACAGGTGTCAGAAAGTCAGGGAAGATCCATAGTGGAAAACGTTTATCTGTATTTCGTGGAGACTGATGGCCAGGTCCCTTCTGCCCAGGACTTCTGGAGAAGGCCAGCCCTACCACTTGCTTAAATACCTCCCACCTCCAACCTTTCAGTAAATATTTAAGTGCTTCATTAAAGATTTAAACCTTAAGGAAGTAGAGTGATCCAGTGGAACTTGAATTTAACTAGAATTTAAGTTTGAGAGTAGCTGGTCAGTAGAACAAGTGTGGTAGATTGGGTGACATACTATGGTTTTTAAGGGTTTTTGGTTTTTGTTTGTTTGTTTTCCTTAAACAGAGTTAACAATAATCAATTTGAATAAAGAAGGAAAACATTAAACAGTTGGTATGTGTAACATGAACACTGTTCCATGACTTGTTCAGCCATAGCCTCAATTTGACATGCTAGACTATGAATCCTAAAGACTGGTATACGGTTACTGCACTGGAGTTACTTTTCTCATTCCAACAACTGTAGAACATTTTGAATAGCATTTTAAAATTTTATTTTAATGAAAGCTTAGAAAAAAAGAAACCCTTACTTATACACTAAAGAAAGTAAACATAAAATAGTCTCCCGCCTGACTCGCAAAAGACCCATGGCCTGATCCTGGCCAGCAGGAGCAGCTGGTGTTAAGGAGCAGGGGCCGGATGCAGCTGAGCTGCCAGCCTCCTAGATGTGGTTCCCTGGTGTCACGGTCTGGGTGAAGGATGGTGCAGAGCTGGTGTTCTGGCCAACATCCCGGTGGGGTCCCAGCCACTGCAGGATGTTGCTGGCCTACTGGGATTTGGGCTCCAGCTGGCAGGAAAGCTTGTAGCTGCAGGACAGAGAGGTAGCTGTGAGGCCACCATGAGCCACACATCAGGTCCCCTCTCAGTGTATGCCCAGCTGAAATCCTGGGTCCCCAGCGGTCCCCATGCAACAGGGCTTGATGCTGGCCGTGGAGTCACGGCCATAGGCTCTCTGTAGCTGGCCACAGGAGAGCCTCCTCTAGGCCACGTGGAGTGGCTGACACCTATAATGTCAGTACTTTGCGAGGCTGTGTGGGGTGGATTGCTTGAGGCCAGGACTTAGACCAGCCTGGACAACATCGTGAAACCCCATCCGTACCAGAACAACAACAGCAGAACAACAGGACATGGTGTCTGTACCTGCTGTACCATGTCCTGGGACATGGTGTACCGCAGTAGTCCCAGCTGCTTGGGAGGCTGAGAAAGGTCTTGAGGCCAGGAGGCAGACGTTGCAGTGAGCAGAGATGGCGACACTGCAGTGCAGCCTGGGCGCAGAGCTAGACCATGTTAAAAAAAAATGGAGCGCCTTCTCCCACCCTCTGCCCGTCCACTAGGCCCTCACCTCTCCTTGTCACTGAGCTGCTCCATTCTTTTGAAATAGGTGACAAATTTCTCAAGAGGCCGAAGCCTGTAATTCATGGCAGCCACTTGGAGCAGCTGCATTTCCTGCAGAACTCGGGCCTCCTAGAGACAGAGGGTAGGTTGCTGACAGGGCCTGGGTGGAAGATGCTGAGAGCACTTTTGGTGGGCAGGGAAAAGGGGCTGATCCCTGGGGCAGTTTTTTGAGGGGGCCCCATGCAGCCCCCAGCCTGTTCTCAGAGTTGGATGTAAACATCCCCTCCTGCAGGAATTGGTCTTTGATCCAGTGCCTTTCCCACTCTCTCCACTGGGATAGATTTCCTCTTCCTGTGTGTGTCAACCCCTCCCAGTAAACCTAAGATGTAGAGGATGGAGCCAGGGAGTGTCCTGTCCAGGGTGGACTGTGAGGTCCACATCCACACCCTCCTCCAATGTTAGCGTCCCAGCTGCTCACCTTCCTCTTCTTGTTGATGTTGCCCTGGAAGGCAGACAGAATCCATCACAAAGGTCAATGGCCCACAACCAGCCCCACTCCACCCCTTCCCATGCTGTACTACTGCCAGGGACACCAGGGTCAGGGGATGTGCACGTGACAGGACTTGGATCTGTCTCAGACTCCAGGTTCTAGAGCAGGGGGAGTGGGAGCTGAGGCTCAGGGACACTGCCCCAACTTTTTCTGATGATAGACAGGGAAACTGAGGTCTCTTATAGAAAGAAAGCACACAGTGACCCTGCAACTGCCTGCCCTTGGAGAGGCTCAATTTCACTCTCCAATTATGGGTTACCCTGGGGAGTCACTGAGTCCAGCTCAGCCCACACCTGAGCAGCTTTGCAGTCAGGCAGCTCTGCAGCTTCACCACTCAGGGATAGGGACTGGTGGCTGCCGTGGAGCCTCCATCACGCAGAGGTGATGAGATGGGCCTGACACCCCCACCCACAGGAGCAGCTGTGAGGCTCTCAGGAGAGGAGGTTTGCTTAGGGCTGAGATCTAAGGGCTCGGTCCACGACCCTCTCCTCCCAAGCCTCAGGATCCTGGTTCCCAACCAACCTGCCCCAGGCTCACTCACATCCAGATCGTCCGGGATGGCCGAATCCAACCTCTGTAACACAGTCAGAAAATCCCCCAGGAAGGGGACTACACCCTGTGCCAAGGAGGGTTGGGGAGGTGGTGATGAGTATTGGCCATCAGATGGCTGCCCACTGTCCTGTCCCATGAAATCCCATCAGCCTCTGTCTCCCAGAACCCCCCTCCCTAGGTCTCCCGGATGGAGCAGCCATAGACCCTCAGCTGCCTTTCCCTATTCTCTGCCTCCTCTATCCCAGATGACCTCCAAGTCTAGTTGATCTCCAAGCAGTCCTAGTTACCTCTGTGGTGGGATATTAACAAGTCACAAGGACCTGTGGTCCCAACCTTACCCTTCCCCACATCCACTCTGAGTCCAGCTTTCCCAGACCCTTGCTCTTGTCTCTCAAATAGAGGTTTTCCAGGCCCAGTGGCCACAAGAGGACAGGGCTGGGGAGGAAGCACCTGCTGTCTCGATATGGAGGCCTCTAGCTGGCGGGGAAAGGAACCCTGTCCTGTGATCTCTTGTGGTCCCTCTATGCCACAGGCTCACTCACCACCTTCTGCCTCCGTAGCCTCATCTGGGCTCTCTGGTGGTTCCTCTCCTGGGTGGCCACCTTAAAGCTCCCCGCCTGCCAGGTGTCAGTGATGGAGACAATGAGGCTCTCCTCCCTTCCCCCAGTTACAGCCCAGCCACCCCGCCCTTGGCTCCCCAGGGACTGGTGTGAATCACCTGGCAAGGTGCTCATACCACTGGCCCAGCACCACACTCCCTGTGTGTGTCTCCCAGTCATGCAGCCGGGCCTCCCTGAGACTGTTCCTCTTCTGTACAGAGTGATCAAAACCACAGCTACCTCACAAGGCCTCCTTAGTACTGTTTCCTGTAGCTGTTCCCATTGTTCTCACCCTCATCCCTCTGAGGAAGAACCAGGCATGAGCACCCGCAAATTATTTTCTTTTCTTGACCCTTATTTCCATTCTGTGAGGGCTACGCTACAGGCTCAGCATCCTTTTATTTTCCAGGTGAGGAAACGGAGACCCAGAGCAGGCAGTGACTCCCCAGGGACCCGAAAGAGAAGGCGCCTCCTCCCCATCCTGGAGGCTCTGTCTTGGCTGCCTTCACTCCATATCCCAGCAAAACCAACCATCAGGGTCGTGTTCTCTGGAGTCTTTGAGTATCTAGGTCTCCAGCCAGGCACAGTCATGATGGGAAAGGGACAGGGCGGTTTAGGAGACCTGGTTAAGTGGCACCTGCCTATCCGAGCCCCACTGGAGTCTCTGCCACACAAACTGGGTTTCAGCCATGCTAAAGGTTTTGCCTCGCCAATGATCCCCCAGGGGAGTTCTGTGCACAGAACTCTTTCTTCCTCTACTCAGGAAGTGGCCTCCTGCGGTGCCATCTCAGATTGACATGGCGGAGTTTTCCAGAATCTTGGGTGGGGTGACAAGTTGTCTTTTCATTTGCATGGAATATTCTGAGATCTGGTCAGGGAGGATCCCCTAGGAATGCATGATGAATCCCCCAGTCATGAGCTTGTGTCACTGCTAACTGGTGAGAGTCCTGTGACATGACCGTTTTCGGGTATCTGCAAAGGGCAGAGCGGGGAGTCCCAGGAAACACGTATGTCTGTCCTGAGCGTGCTCATTGGTACCCATAGCTGTGAGGTCCACTGGACTCCCTGGCACATGATCTTCCTTTGTTTTCGTTCCCCCTCTCCCCCAGTGTGGGCAGAAGCCCCTGCCCATGGAGGTGCGCTGCAGACAGAAGCAGCAGCAGAGGCCTGGCTTCCTCAGGAATTGCCGGCAAGTTTGTGGAAGGAAGAAAGTCCCACCTACCATAACCATCCCCCAGCCTGGAGGAAGCTCCATGCCAGCAGGATGGACCAGCATGGGAGCCAGAACCCTGCTAATGCTGCAACTCATCACCCCAGCTCAGCAGCCCAGCAGCCATTGCCACATCCCATTACCAGGGCCTCCTACCCCCGTGCCACCACCTGCCCATGGACCACACACCTCTCTCCCTGTTGGCCCTAGGTAGGCATGGAGGAAATTTTTCAAGTCCACTTTTAGTAGATGAGTCAAAAGAAAACAAAATAACCGCTCCACACCAGGTCCAATGCCCTCCAAACTCAGTCTTTCCTCTGACCCTTAAACACTTGTCCCGCATCTCCCAGACTCCACTGTACCTTGATCAGCAGGTCCCGCTTCACTGCGGTGTCTGTTTTGCAGAGTTGTTTTAGATATTTTGTGCTTTTGCTATGGACAAAGGAAAGAAAGAAGGGTAAATTTGTGAATAAGCGGAGAGATTTGTGAGTTCCCATCCAATCCCTTTTGTTTGAAAACCCAGAGAATCCCAACTTAGTGGGTGAGAGTTTCCAGTGGGGTCCTCTGTTGACAAGGGCTGCAGAAGACCAGGGTGGGACTTGTCATGCTCCTCCCCTGGCCCATCTCCACTTCACGTGAGCCCCTGCGTGTTCGCAGTTAGCTTCCAGCTGGACACAGTTCCACTGCTGGGTGCAAACACCTGAAAGCCCCCAGTTGGCTCCAGTCTGTTCCTGATGGTTAAAAATCCTTAGTCCTGAGTTGGAAATCCTTGCCTAGAAGTCCAAGGCAGC